TAAATCAATGAACATCTGGTCCCGACGTGAGCCGTGAGTCTGATAGAAGATCTGCTCCTCGTTGCTCTTCACCTTCCTCTCACGGCGCTCTGCAGGTTACATGTATGTAATAAATGACTCGTGTCACTGCGCTCTGCAGGTTACATGTATGTAATAAATGACTCGTGTCACTGCGCTCTGCAGGTTACATGTATGTAATAAATGACTCGTGTCACTGCGCTCTGCAGGTTACATGTATGTAATAAATGACTCGTGTCACTGCGCTCTGCAGGTTACATGTATGTAATAAATGACTCGTGTCACTGCGCTCTGCAGGTTACATGTATGTAATAAATGACTCGTGTCACTGCGCTCTGCAGGTTACATGTATGTAATAAATGACTCGTGTCACTGCGCTCTGCAGGTTACATGTATGTAATAAATGACTCGTGTCACTGCGCTCTGCAGGTTACATGTATGTAATAAATGACTCGTGTCACTGCGCTCTGCAGGTTACGGTCTGCACTGCCACCGCGCCGTCATCACCATGTGCAAGCTGATCGGCATCAAGGACATGTACTGCAAGGTGGAGGGCTCCGTCAACCTGCTGAACATCACCAGGGCGCTCTTCACCGGGCTGGCCAGTCAGGTGACTCAGTGGGCGGGGCTTAGAGCGAAACGACGCCAGAAAGCTCCGCTAACGCCCGCCCTCTTCTTCTCTCTCCGCCGGCAGGAGGTCCACCAGACGCTGGCCGACAAGAAGCGGCTCCACGTGGTGGAGTACCAGGCGCAGCGGGGGCCGCTGCCCCGGGTGGTGGCCAGCCCCGAGGGGGGGGCCCGAGCCCAGCCGGAGGCCCCGGACGAGGTGCCCGACACCCGGCTCAACTGGGACGACGTGCGGGCGGCGCAGGGGGTCAAACGCTCCATCTGGGGGGGGGTGAAGCGCACCATCTGGTAGCCTCCCCCTGAAGAGGAGGAATGTCCATCTCCCAGAATGCATCAGTCAGACCAACAGTGACACAATGTTAACGTCGTTTCTTCCACCTTGAACTGCAAAATATGTCAATGTAATAAAATGTGTCTCTGAACACGCGTGAGATGAATGGATGAATCTGATGACCCGTGACGCCTGTTTTAAGGTGAAGTCACTTCAACTCCACAAATCTCGTCTTAATAGAAGGAGGAGCAGAAGAAATTTAAATGTGTCCTTGTGAACAAAACTGACTCATTTGACACTAAAGTAAAATATAGTTTATCAGTTTAGAAAAGATGTGTTTTTGTTTATTTAGGGTGAAGTGAACATTTAATCATAAAACAATCGTTTTCACTCACTGGTACAACGAACTGTTCGTTCCTCATCGATTCATAAATAATTATGACTCCCGTCACCAAATCAACGCATTACATGTTTAAGCTTCGTTAATTCAACATTGATCAATAATAAAAAAGATTCAGTGAAGATTCAGGTCAGCTGGCTTCTTCTCCTCCTTCTCCATCTTCTCCTTCTCCTTCTTCTCCTCCTTCTTCTCCTCCTTCTTCTCCTCCTTCTCCATCTTCTCCTTTTTCTCCTCCTTCTCCTCCCTTCTCCTCCTCTGTGTTTCATCTCTTATGAACTCTTCCATCGGATGGCTGAGAAGATGGGCGTGCAGGAAAGTAGAGAAGCGTGGCCACGTAGGACATCACCTGAGGACCACACGGCGAGAAGGACACATTGTAACCTCAGGAGACATCGCTCATTAACACCTGCTGGCATCTTCATCGCTCGTCATCACTCCACCGCCTGAGACGAGTAACAACCGG